CTTCCAGTATCTCTTATTGACTTTCCTCCATATTCCTCATTCTTCTCCACCATCTTGATTTCATCGTGGCTACGTTGCGTGTGGCTCTTCTTCGATAATACAGGCAGTCTGGGACTTCTGGAATAGTCGCTGAATTATAGATACTGATATTTTATAAAACTGCTACCTCTCTGTCCGTCGTTGCCCAACGGGTTTTCAATATACGAAAATACCTAGTGGAAGGTGCGGGGTGGCGTCATCGCTGTAACTGGCTGTCCTTTACATACGTATACAGACTCACTCTCTCTCTCTCTCTCTCTCTCTCTCTCTTTCTTTCTCTCTCTCTCTCTATATATATATATATATATGAGGTTGATGAGGTAATACGCCTGTTACCGGCGTGATGACGTGATTGTCAGTGTATCATAGTGTTCGGCCTGAGCTGCATCAGGCTGTCTGCTACATCATCATTGAGTGCATCATTGTCCCCGATAGACAGGACCGTTGAATAGCTGGTACGAGAAGTAGCATCGATTAAATCACGTGTATAATTTCATATTAATTAATTACCAGCAACGATTGCCTGACAGCGACGGAGGGTGGTAAGGAAATTAATAAAATAATTAACGAAGTGGAAAATCTCATTTGTCCCACGGCCATTTTTAAATGTTTTAAAAACTCGGGGTAAGAAAGTCGACTGTAATACCGACTGAGAATCTTCTTTTTTTTCTCCAACATTTTTTTTACGCCTTAGGCTCCTCTTCCACTTCGATTACCGTGTGTCAAAGGGCTGATCTTCAATGAGGGTCGCGTGACCCGTTTTTTACGCCTACGCGACAATCCCACACACTCGTGCAGAAGCGCGTTGTACGCGGTCACTTAAAAATCCTCCTTAAGAAATAAAACCAAGCTCTTGAGACGAGTTTTGAGGAAAAATATTTTTTTTTCTAAGATAAATATTTCATCGAAACTCTTGTAAAGGTTAATAATAAGATGCTAGAAAAATGCTTAAAAAATATTAATCGACTTTCAATATTAATGCTTAAGGACAAATTCACACCAGACGTTCGTACCCAAAATGACTTTACTGTCGTCACGTGTAAATTGAATTAAATTTACATATTATATACACGATCGGTTTACCAAACGAGCCAATCACTGAATGGATATAAATAGAAATTGAAAAATAAATTTTTTTTAGAATGAATTTACACAAGACCGATAAGTACTACTCCCTATACTAATCCGTACGCGAATGGCTGCCAGCGAGCGAATACGGCATTAAATCCCCGTTTTACTAAAGCGATCGCGTAATCGCGAATTAAATTGACATTGCCAATGATTAAGTCACGTCGCGTGAGTCAGATATAGCGTGAAGAATTGTTTGATCGATATCTGTACCATCGATGAATTGCGAGTCCTCAAAATAAAATAACCTCAAGCGATCGAAAGACTGCGAACAGAAATAGTACAATTCCAATGTTTTCTCACGCATGTTATTTTAAACGACCGTTATGTGTCTTAGAAATCGATGAAAATTTCCGTCCAGAATCCATGGAACCATATACATATATTTTTAGCTGAAAAGGAATAACCGTAAAACCGTCGAAAACAAAAAAAAAAAGAATAATAATCGACTTATGGATAATTTCGTACTTTATCGATTATCCGTAGTGGAAGCCACGTGAAAGCGGTAACACATGATTCCGGTATGTTTACAATTGAAGATCGACGGTCCGTATCCACTTAGGGCGTCGAGACGTCGAACAATGAAGGATACTCAAATGGGTCCCCTAGGGACATAGTTTGCCCATAATTACAGCGCAGTCATTAAAATCAGCAGGAATCCATCGCTCGCAATTCTCTACCTTCCCCTGTACTCAGCCGTAACTACCAGTACGATAGCGTACCTGCCCAAATGTCGAAAGTCGCGTAGAAAGGTAAAATCAGACAGAAGTGCGAAAAGGAGCGGGAAAAAAAAATAATAAAAAAAATTCGTCGCTTCAAAAGCAGCTCTAGATTAAAGGACGCAGCGTGTAAAAAGTTGATGACGCTCGATTTGAACGTAGGCCGTGGCAGCGTGGTTGCGATGAAAGCGCGCCTTGATTTCAGCCTTGCAGACCCGTCGCAGCGACGAGAGTCGCGACGGAAAAGCTTCGGATAATTTGACGACGTCGACGGCGACGGGAAGTGTCGATTCATGAATGTCAGACATAACGATAGCGCTCGGATTTCCTGAGTTATCTCTATTTCTAGTCCGTCCGGTGTATCACTTTCTATGAAACTGCAAAACAATGGTAAAAGACATCAGCGACGAAGTGGAAAAGACGTCGCGTCAAATTGCCACGAGGGGCAGTGAGGAATTCTGGGTAAAAGAAAGTAACGAGACTTAATTATATGAGAAATAATAAATTCCAATTAATTCAGAGTTATCCAATTAGCGAAACATGACGAACAATTAACTTACGCAACTTCCGACTGTACAGCCGCGTATGAACGGTGCTTAAAGTCTCGTGCTGAATATAGACATTTATACGAAGTAGACGAAGACAGAAAAACTTCGTGACTCAAAAGAACGTACGATATACGTCTAATATTCCTAATACGTATGGAAAGGACGTGACTGTACCGGTGGGTATTGTTTTCGGCGAAGAAAAAAAAAACGAATAATTCAGGTAGCTTCCTGCCGTCCACAGGTGTCCGTAACGGCGACCATTACGGATTATCCTGCGTGAAGGAAGCAACGAGTCCTCCGAAGTGATTTCACGTTCTACTATCCATACGGGACACCCCGTCATCTTGGTAGAACAATACAAAGTAACGTCACTCTTGAAAAAGCAACAAGGTACACAAAAAAGATCCAACACTAGTCAAATCCATGACAATGCTTTGGTCATGGACTCGACTTAGCCTTGAAACAAAGGTAAGACTCCCTTGTCCATGTGGACTTCGGTCTAGGATTATAGGAAAATCATGTAACAGTAATAAAAACAGTAAATACGGTGAACGGTGCTGCTGCGTAGAGACAGCGAGAAAAATTATAATCGAAAGAAACTAGAGTCGGCCAGAGTATTATAAGAAGACATGAAATAGTCAGTTAAGGGATAATATATATATACACGTAAGATGGCTTCCAAGTTCATTGTGAATTCAGTCACATAAGAGTACCGTAGCGAGTACGACCACGCCTTAGCATCGTTTGGTATAATAAAGAGAATAAAGAGCAGACTCAGTCACGGGATTGTAATGTAATAACGTCTTAATTCCCAAGAATTCACAACTACGTATAAGTCTGCCTTATTGTGGATCTGACGCGTAAGCCGTGCTAAGGAGACTCTAATTTGACTCAGGTACACCAAGCCCGAGTGAAGCTAGTAAAGTTTAATTAAAATTCCATCCTGCGGTTGGTAGAGATGGATCGATGGCTGAAAACTATCGAAACAAATAAATTGTCAATGCTGACCCTAAGATTTAATATTTCAATTGACTAGAGTAGTGCTGCTCTAGGTTAAATGGCGGCAAAGGGTCATCGGAGGTAGATGGAATGTATATTAGCATAGAACGTATCTGGCCTACTTTATACAGTGCAACGTATCTGTTGTTGCTGCCGAATTAATTATTATTTCAATCACGATATCGCGATACCGTGAAGGGAATTATGAAATACCCCGTTAAAGCTGAACGTCGCTATTGTATGTACAGACGTATTAAATTTATAAAGGAATCGCGCGCCCTGAGGAAACTGTTAAATGAGAATACCCGTGTTACAGGCTTATATGTTATTTGCGTATGCAATGACTGCATATACATTGTGCTATTTATATAAAGTATATACAACGTATGTATAATGTATAAACGACAGACAATAGTTAGGTCACTGTATCTAATATGTATATAGTATGGTACAATTACAAGTTCACTGTGAGGTGACACGCCGGTATAGCCTGCCTGACAGACAATTACCTAAAACTGGCATAATCAGGAACCTGGAGAAGTTTCGTTGACAATAGAGAAAATTCCGTGCTTCCTGGGTGGATAAGTAGCATAGAATAGTTCCGAATATTAGAATTAAGCTGACGATATTGAAAGTTATGACGCACTGGAAAAGTGCTATATAGGTTTCTCCAGTTTCTTATAGGTTATAGATAGCATAGTAATGGTACGAATCTTCACCAAAATGGCTTCCGAGTTTAACATTCCAATAGAATATTAAGTAAATACAAGTTGTCGGGATTTGACGAATTGACTGTGGTGCGTGACGGCCCACGCGCTAGTAATCAATTATCAGGACTGTAATGGCTGTTTTACGAGAAATGGATAATAACGAATTTCCAGAATCCCCTATGATAGTCAACAGAGATGCACTAAGGTAGTTTCGAATGAAAATGAATATTTTTGTAATTATTTGGTTACGGTCGGTAGAGAAGAGTGTAGCTGAGACATTGCGTGACCTCCTTGCGCATGAAACTTTTAACTTTTCTATTTCCTACCCTTATAGCGGTATGAAGAAAACTAAAGAGTAAAATTTTCTTCGCTTTGAGCTCAGCAAAGAGGAAAAAAATTTTTTTTTCTCTTCTTTCTATACCGCGAAAACCACACGGATATCGCATTAGCCCCGTGAACACAAAGAGTGCGTGTTGTTTGAAAAAGTTATCAAATTGAAAAAAAAAAAACTACACTGGTTAGTACTGCTACACATGGACGATGCAGCTTTCTAATTTAAAATGGCCACGCCAACATCAGGGCACTTTAAAACGTATGAATTGGTCCTTACGGATGGGAGAAGTGGAAGCGACGAAACTGATGGATCTTCGGGGTAGAAAGAATCGTGAGATTAACGTATAAATCTCTGGCAAGTGGTTGAAATTAGGGTCGTTAAACAATTAATTGAATTGTTTGTCGCGCGACCGGGTCGCCGGCTTTTTTGACCTTTCTTCGAGGTTTCCCACTTAATGGGGGGACTCGCATAGTAGCGGAAGCATCGTGGCATACTTTTACATAGCTTACGCTAAGCAATGCAGTATTTGTACAGCGTACACGCTCTTTCTTCCCAAGGTCTACGAGAGAAAATTTTGAATGGTTAAAGCGTGAAAATGCATTGAGCTCGTAGACAATCTTTATCGCCTTTGTAACGCACGTAGGTTATATTCCTTAACGATTTTCAAGCTCCAGAGACGCTTGACAGTTTATCCGATGTTCCAAAGCGTGACATCATCCTTAGCCCCAGGCATGCCGAGCCATTTAATTCTCTAAAATGCGAAGGCCGTCTGACGCCGGTTTACTTCTGTATATACAAAAGAGATTCTAACGGCACAATCGGCGTTGGTGTTGTATCGGTGCATGCGAATTATGCGACTGCTGCAATTTATTGCAATGAATATCGACGTCGATGCTATTCTTCCGAAAATCACTGCAAGGAGGAATCATAATATTATTGCAGGAATGTTTGTAAACAGAGGGAATGCGTTGCGCCACTTGCGAGTGGGACGAATGTTTTCCTTTTCTATCCTCCTTTATCTCCGCATAGACGCCATTGCAGGCACCTCGTTCTGATTTTAACGAGGAACCTTGCAACTGCTTCTCGCCAAAGTATGAGAACCCCTCCTGTCTAATATCAGCTGAGAAAACTACTCGACTACTTCGAATCACTTGACTTGGTAATCGAAAATGAATCTCTAGGTAAAAATTTACATTACAAACATGGACGGTGTTAAATGTACACAGGCTTTGATCATAGTTTATCCTTGGGGTAACTTATGGGGATTCCTTGACATTTTTGTAAACTGATTACGATTGAAACACTTTTAAATTCTTTTATATCAGTTTGATATGTCAATCAGTTGTTTCGCTAAAGAATGCAATAGACGTTATAGCAACCTAACCTCTAGACCCATCATAACATGCGTGTTAATAGCGTTTATCTTTACATTTTTTAATATCAGAAGTATATAACACCTAAAAGGGAACGACAATGTATCAGTTTTTCTTTTTCTTTTTCGTTTTATTGGCCCATATTTGCTTGAAGCAATCATTAACGGTTACCGGGTTTCAACCTGACGTTATACACTGAAATTCGACTCGGACACTATTACCATTATCTCACAGGAACAACAGGTTTGGTCACGCAGGCATAACACACATATTTCCCTTAATTACGCATAATTCTCCTGCTTGGATTACTATGTTACATTTATTCTATAAAGGCACACGGGGAAGTCTGTAATAACCCAGGTTGCACGTAATAAAAGCGTAAGTAATAAACTGTCATTCGTTCCCAATCAAACGTCATGCATCTGATTATTAAAAAAAAATCCATTGAAAACTCAAAAATAACATTTGAAAGTGTATTACGCTGTTGCACGTGTCATTCTTTGCGTCTGAGAAGATAGTTACGTCTGAGTTTCGATAAATTTGACAGAAACTGTCATTAGACGAGTCATAATATAAACCAAGAATAACTGAACGTAGAGCAGAACAATTATATACTGCGATAAAATAAAATTGTGCTATCATACACGTGAAATTCCTGAAGCCACTGACAGATGGTGCAAATCTGGATAAAATCTGACGTAAATTAAATCCCAACTTGAGACAATAGAGTAGAAAAGAAAAGCTAAGAATTAGATAAATATGAACGTTAATCTAATTGGAAAGATAAACGGTTACAATGATATATTGTCGTTGGTGTTCCATGGTAAGCCATATACCAGCACAAAAGGTAAAGCCAACTGGATCGCGTCGACTCACCTTAGGATGCGGACGCGATATCCATTAAACGGCGTAATGCCGCGATAAAAGCGTCACACGAAATGTCACGTTAAAATGCACAGGGTTATATGTCTCAGGCAAATTGATAAGGATAACGTTCGTTCTTGCTCTTGGCTAATGGGCAGGGCAGTACTTGAGGCACTAGGCACGTAAACTCGCGTTCCAATTCGACGGACTGGCTACGAGAACGAAACAGGTTCGCCGAATCGCGGCGGGGCGACGCCGAACACGGCCACGGCCCATTCACGCGCCATTTTCAACTAGTCCCATGGATATTTTCAAAATTACTTGCCGTATCTTCGGGACGCGATGACTGTTCTCGTCGTAATGATCCTAGACTCTCTTGGATCGTATGACCTTTTCTTCTGTTGAAACGTAATACTCAAGCAATTAGCACATTTTGAATTTCGAATGCCGTAAACAGCGCACTACTTTCGATGTTCCTACGCCAAGAACAAGATGGCTGACTACTGACGGATAGCTGGGAAAATCGAGGTTTCTCTTATGACGCAATCAGACGAGCACGCCCCGTTTTTATGCATTTTCTCCAGTAGATGACACTGCTACCCTTCTGATACATCTCTGCCGTTGATAAAATAACATTTTTCTTTACCGTTGAATGAACTGTTATCAATTCTAGAACAAATCTTCGAACACTTTATACCGGTGACAGATAATACTCACGCTGGTACAACGTCGGGAAGTTAGCATCAAAAGATTGAAATTTGTATGTTTATAATGCCTAAAAACTCGATCCGCTGCTACTATACAATGATTACAAAATATTTATTAAAACAGAAAACTATTTTTTTATTGCTATTCCAAATAACCAAGCAGAGTTTCATATGATTTTCTTAATGAATTAACTGCTCTCAATTTGCTCCATTCTGCTTTGTAATTTGTTTTTTATTTTTTTAAAGCATTGTTAAATGTCAAGTAAGAATTTATTTTCTTTTGGCCTGATTGCAAATATAATTCATTTTCAAACACACCTGTGACAGGTGCGTTTAAAGATGAGCCGAAAGTGCTGCGAGCATCGTTGCCTCGGTTCATTTTCAAACACGTTCGGTGGTGTAGGCCGATTGGGCCAAAAATGAATATAACCGACTAGACACGTGGTAGGTCAGAAGTAAACGAAACGGGGCAGTTTATGTGGGTTCCAGGAAAATATCGGTGGATTTTTAATAATTGAAATCTTCGTTGAAGAGTGTATCTTCGTGGAGCTTCGTGTATGATTCTGGGGCTACTGACATACGCTAAGGGATGTCCGCTTTATATATCTTAGGAAAAGTGGCAGGTAGAAGTCAAATGAGCGGAGAAACCCAAAGATTGATAAAGGTAAGATTTATATGAATTAGGGTTCTTGGAAAGTAAACACCATGAGGTATTCAGGAAAATAATAACGGAATGTTTTAGCGGGGATTAGGATTAACGGTGGATGGATTTTTATGGAGGGTAAGGATGAAGAATGAAACATCAGCCGAATCGTGAAATGGCTCGACGAATGGTGATCGAATTGTTGAATTTGGCGCACGCTGTTGAAAATTAAATTGTAAGCCAAGAGGCTAATGAATATTTGTTAATCATTGTATACTAGCTGCGGAGAAATTAGGAAAACATAAGGAGCAGTTTTTTTTAGGCATTAAAAACGTAAGTTTTTATCTTTTGACGCTAACTTTCCGACGGTCAATAGGAAGGTGTTATACAATAATGTAACGAAATGTTATTTCTTCTTGATCGTCGTCTGGTGTTAAACTTTAGTCTGCCTGCGTCAGTTGAACTGTGAGGTTAGTTCTATGATTTTGCTTCAAGTGTAACTTCTGGCAGAGGGTTTTATTATTTGAAAGTACTTTACAGATATTAATATTTTTTAAAGCATTTTCGTCTTTGAAGGTTGAAAGATTTTCTGCATCGGAACAAATTCCTTAAACATATTAATGGATTTCAAAAATGTGTTTTGTTATAATAGTGTAAAATCTATAAGATTTATTACTCCTGGTGCTGGTAATATGAGGATAAAATTGATAATTATTATCGTAGTATTTTTGCATAATTTAGTAAATTTATGATATTAACTTTCTATGTTGGACTGTTCTTTTTATAATAATTTCATTCCCAATGGTAATTTGATATTATTATATCTGCTATTTTAAGTAAGATATATTAGATATTATTGAAAACGTTTGAGTATTACTGATTTTAAATCAAGATTATCCTGTATAGTATTTGTAATATCACTAGTTTTAAATACCCATGTATATACAAGAATCATGTTTATCACGGTTCTCTTTATCTGTAGTTACACAACTTGCCTCCTACTGCCTTTTACTGATTAACTTAAACTTCTACCAAGAGTAGAGTTGCTTGCATTGTAGAATATAATATAATATTTTCAAATACAAAAAGACAGGAGAACATATCTTCAATGGCTGATACACCATGGAACGTATTGGTAACTGGGGGTGCTGGTTATATTGGTTCTCATACAGTATTGGAGCTTCTAATTGCAGATTTTCAGGTGGTGGTTATTGATAACCTTAAGAATGCTTACAAAGGTGAGACCTATTTAAAAATAGTCACTTTCATGAAATAAACTATCATGTGCTCTGGCTAATATTCCATAAAATATTAAAATAAACCTCTTTCCAGTTATTTCACATCTTCCTGAATACTCTGGAGAGATCTCATCATTAAACAATCTTATAAATATTATATTTTATAATATATATTTTTTATAGGAGCATCAGCTGATAAGCCTGAATGTATTCTCCGAGTGGAGAAGCTAGCAGGGAAAAAAGTAAACTTTATTAATTGTGATATTACTGATAAAGATGCACTAAATAAAGTCTTTAAACAGGTAAAATACAAGACTAGCAAAATTATAAGATTATTGTAACATCATCATCTTATTCAATTTCATCTTGAATTTCAGTATTGTTTTCAATGTATTATACACTTTGCTGCCTTAAAGGCAGTTGGCGAATCCTGTGAAATACCATTGGAGTATTATAAAATAAATGTAGGCGGTACATTAAATCTCTTGGAAGTAATGCAAGAGAATGATGTAAAAAATTTCATTTATTCGAGTAGCGCAACCGTATACGGAGTTCCAGAAAAATTGCCTCTTGATGAGAATATGAAAACGGGTAATTGCACCAATCCTTACGGAAAAACAAAATACATGGTAGAAGAAATTCTTAAGGATCTATGTGTATCAGATAAGGTAAATAATGTAATATATACATATGTTATATTCCGGTATTTACATTAGATTCTAACATTATATTTTTCTTAGGCATGGTCTGCAATTTCTCTGAGATATTTTAATCCCGTTGGTGCACATCCATCGGGAGAGATCGGTGAGGATCCAAATGGAATTCCAAACAATTTAATGCCATTTATAGCACAAGTATCTGTACTGAAACGAAAATTTCTTCAAGTTTATGGAAACGATTATGATACTCCTGATGGAACTGGTTAGTCCAATTTGTACAAAGATACCGGACACGAGTTTTAATTATATGAATTTCGGAGTGTCGTTCATTTTTTAAATCTAAGATTACTTGGTATTTTTATCTATTTATAGGAGTACGAGATTACATTCACATTACGGACTTGGCAGTAGGTCATGTGAAGGCAATGGTTTATCAGAAGTCTAGTGCTCCAAAGGGTTTCGAAGTGATAAATCTAGGTACAGGAAAAGGATGTTCAGTTTTGGAAGTAATCAAGGCCTTTGAAAAGGCCTCTGGGAAGAAAATTCCGTATAAAATTGTTGGACGTAGACCTGGTGATATTGCAGCAAGTTATGCTGATGCTAGTCTTGCAAATAAACAACTCCAGTGGTTTGCTACCAAGAATATAGATGACATGTGTAAGTCTTCTTGTAGTCTGTTAGTATTGTTTTGAAATGTGGCACAAAGAGTTACAAAGACTAACATAATCGTAATTGCCTCTTAGGTGCTGACACGTGGCGATGGCAACAAAATAATCCCAATGGCTACAAACCAAAAGCTTTATGAAAAAGTTAGGAAAAATTAGGGTACTCGATTATAATATATATGAAATTTAAGATTAAATACAAATACCAGGTGGTTTACAGTTACCAAAGTCAGAACCAAAATATAAAGTGAGAGTGCAACTCCTTAAATTATAAATGAGACAAATTCTGTGGAGACAGAAGATAAGCATTTTTATACATTCAATACATTCATTTATTGAATGAACGTTTTAGACCAATTTATGTAGAATATGTTGGTTCCAAGAACTTTTCAATAGGTTCGATATGACATTCTATACCTGATTGAAGAATGAACTTTTGCAAAGTTTACAAGGCAAGATTATAATTAAAGATTGTATTATATTGTGCCATACTTGTATAAATGTCTATAACAATAAATGGGATAAAACAATGTTCTGTTAAACATATTAAGTCCTTTTTTTTTTAATAATTAACCATGCTATTTATATTGCCGACCCGAGCAGTTTATAATCTAATAAAATTAGTAATTTTGTAAAACTCTAAAAGAACTCTAGAAAATTTATATTTAACCTCTATTAAATTTATGTGTTTGATAAGGAATATTCAATTGAAAAATAACGATATTATATATTGAATGGCATCTTGCAATTCCTATTTACCTACAAGCGCATGTAAAGCCATGCTTGATGCGTGTTGCGGATTTCGTGGGAAGAAGCAGTTGTCAGAGTTTACTTTAATTTGAGGTTACATTACCAGGATTCCGTGTTTGAAGCAATATGTGGTGCTGAGGAATACAGATTATGGAGCAGAGATGACGGTTAGTGAAATCTGTGACATGACTCAAAAATAGCATTCCAAAAAATGAGTCCGAAACGAAAGGTAAGGGTGCACTGTAGTGTCCAGGTTATCTGTAGGGTAAACTTTTATATTTTTATAAATGTTTTATATTGTTTTAAATGTTGGATTTTTAGAAACTTTGCATTACTTGCTGCAAATAAATTTATTCAAATATTGTCATTTATGGTTTTTGTTCCTTTTTGGACATATATAAAAATTGTCAACAGTCATTTTTGGCTTGTAATAAATTACTTAAATCTGTTGCATGTGCACTGCTTATTATATTCTGATGTTGCTTCATCAAAGTATCGATAAATTTGTCATTGTAAATACGACTTTTTAATTCATTATTTAGACCACAAGCTCCGAATCTACTTCGTCAAGTTCATCTGGATCATCATCCAGTAGCTCCTCAAGCTCTGGTAGTGAATCAAGCTCATCCGATTCAGAGAATTCTAGTAGCTCAGCAAACAGCCAGAAAGTCTCTGATTCAGATAGGAATAAGAAGAAGCTCCCATTTCCACCAACACGCCATGTTAAAGGGAAGAATGAAGCAAGTGCCGCATTGCCCTTGGATAATAAAAATAAGGAAAGGCCAACGCCAAAAAGTAGGCCTGTTGTCTACTCTTCAGAATCTGAAGAATCACCTAGTAAACTTAAACCGGCTAAGAGAAAGCCACCGGCAAAGCCAAAAGCCACTGCCACTGTTGCGCCTGTTGTTAAACCACAGCGACCAATCAGTAAACCAGTTTCTACTCCTTCATCTCATAAAAATGTAGGAAGTACGAAACCAATTGCCAATAAGCCCAGCAAAATTATTGGTAAGTATAAGGTTTTTATTGGTTTCAACAATACTATTAAATTTTTTGTCAATCGATAGCAAAGGTTGCAAAATAAATTATTTCTAATAAGGAATTTCTAATAAATAGGAAGCGTTACCAGCAGTGTGAAGAATATAGAAAAACCAACAAAAACGATTTTAGAACCAGTGCAAAAAAAGCTCAAAAAGAAAAGCATATTTAGTCCTGAAAATAGTAGCGAGAGTGATGGAGCACCACCATCGAAGCCAATAGGACTTAAAACTACAAGCAATCCTGTCAAATGTCCAAAACCTCAACAACAAATAAAGCCAAAACCTGTTGAGCCAAAACCTCGTCCACCTATAGCAAATAGACCCAGTAAGTAAAATTAACTATTCAGTCAGTATCAAACCTATTCCATGTATCTCGTATCATATTAATCTTTTTCAAAATATAACCAGGTTTAGTAACGAAGACACAACCACAAAAATCTGATAGCTCAGCAAGTTCAAAAAGTTGCTCTGGAGGATCCGGTGGTTCAGGATCATCTGGTTCTAGTGACAGTAGTTCGGATTCAGAATCTTCGGAAAGTGTAACAAGTCCTCAGCCTCAACCGAAGAAAAAAGAAATACATTCAAGCACAAATATTAATACAGTCACTACCAGTGCACCCCCTAAAAGGCCCACAGTTTCAATTATTGCCAGCAAACAACAAAAAACGTCCAAACGACACGGTTCGTTAAAAGAAAAACCTAAATCTGTCCAAAAATGATTACAAACTCCGGTACAAATGTACGTAATTTACTTTATGATCCCAGGTGCCGTAAAAAGTGACGATGACGGCGACGCCTCGGACAGTGACAAGGAAATGGATGAACAGACTGAGGGAAACACAACAAAAACGACTGCAAAGGGCAAACGGAAACTACAGACTCGCAAAGGTAGCAAATTATTGCAACTGCAGACGAAAACGATGAGCGACTCTGAATCAGACACAGGTGACAATAAGAGTTATATAATAATTCACTCAAATCCTTCTTGTAGTATTCTGATAGATTTCGTTTCCTACGTAACCCATTCCTCATCTAACATCTTGTACGTATCAAAATTGAACGCACGTACAGTTTCCGTAGAATGATTAATCGGCAAAAAGAATAATATGAAAAATTAAAGAAAAATGGTAAAGTGTCGCGCAGGAAGTGAAATCAAGACTCTGTATTGCCACCCTAAAACAAAAAAGGCAGTATCTGCAGTTCTAATGGATGGGTTGGCTAAAATGCGTAGTAATTAGTAAAACCTTCAATGATTATTGTATTAAAAAAAAAAGAAGTGTTCTAATAGAAGAAAAATCAAAGGAAAGCATATCCCAGGTATCCTGAAGTACAGATACAGTCTTTTCATTTATGGCGGCAGTATGGTTCTCAGGTACGGAAATGGTAGCGTGTAATCGAATCCTGCAAATTCCACTGATACGGTGTGATTTGTCGGGAGTAGCTGAGAGCAAACGAAGCACCAGCAAGTCTCCAGTGAAAAGGGCAGGCCTCAGCACTGGGGCTAGACACTCATCGAGTACACCTAGAACTGGGACTGCTAGTGGAAGCGGTACCACGACGATTCCTAGATCAGGACAGGGATCATATACACGAACTCGTGCAGTCAAGGAACGCGAGTGTCCTTTAGCTGCATCATGTGATTCGCGTGGGCACCTGTCTGGGAGGTTCGACACTCATTTCACGTTGGAGGCTTGCCCATTGTATCATAATACAACACCACAGGCGTGTGTGTAAGTATTCCTGAACCTTCGTGAACACCGAGGACCCATTGTACTTTGATAACAATCTATATGTCTTGCGTACAGGGAATTTTACAAGGAGAGAAAGAAACGTGAGGACGAGCGCAGAAAGTCCATGTCTAATTTGGGTAAAAAATCTCCGAAGCGTATGCATCAGACAAATGAACAAAGAAACTATCAACTTAAAGTGAAGGATCTGAGAAATAAGTGGAAAGGACCTGATGGCGATGGTAACGAAAGTGACAGTGGTGGTGAGCCCCATGGAATAGAAAAGAATCGACAACCCAGACTTAAAAATCTTACACCGGACTATGACCTGAAGTTATTTATGGAAGCGCAGGCAATAGCTAGTGAGAAAATAGTAAGTACCACATAATTTGTTAGTAGAATATTTAATTCTTTTACAAGAACCAGCTAACTCATGTACGTAATATAGGAAAAAGAATTAAAAGAATTAGACTACGATGGCGAGGGTAGAAATGGTGGAGGTACTCGCTGCGTAGAGATGGGTAAATGGGAGATGGAAGTTTGGTACCAGAGTCCCTATCCAGAAGAGTTTAGTAGAGCTCCGAAGTTATACCTTTGTGAATACTGCTTAAGATACGCCAAGAGTCGTCAAGTATTACGAAGACACAGGGACAAGTGCTTATGGCGCCATCCACCAGGGCACGAAGTTTATAGGTAATAAAAAGAGTCGTTAAACTATATAAAGACAAATTTTATTTATCTTGGATTACTTTCGTGCAGCCTCCAGTGAAAGGAATGTTTTTAAAATCATTTCTCATGCACAGGAAAGACAAGATAGGCGTATGGGAAGTGGACGGAAAGCGTTACAAGCAATACTGCCAGAATCTATGTCTCCTGGCGAAATTCTTTCTGGACCACAAGACTCTTTACTACGACGTCGAGCCCTTCCTTTTCTACGTGATGACCATCGGCGACGCGGAAGGCTGTCACACCGTCGGCTACTTCAGCAAGGTAAGTACCCAGAGCTTCAATAACTTCCTCTCTTATCTAAATGTCCTGTATATCCCTTTTATCAAGAGACTCGGTAGAGTCTTGCGACAACTACTATATGTATAGTGTAACAGGCAGCGAGATACCATATAGACTCTAACCCGAAGATAAGTCGCATTGAATTCACGTTAACGTGAGGAAAACAGGTTTAACTTCGATAGCAGGAATGGACTATAGCCCTAACGGTCTTGATTCCCGGGTCAACTGTCTTATATATATGTATATAATATCAAGAATACAACAGTACAACATACGTGTCACCATGCACGAAGAATGAAGAGAGAAAAACATGGAATATGTGTACTGGTACAACCACAATCCAATAACGAGTAACTACTTCAAACTTCTTTCTCTCATTCTTCATACTTTTTACATTCTTACCCGTTATCCACTCTGTGATTTACAGAGTAACAAAATGCCCATTGAGACTGACACTCTCTTTCTTATATCCCATAGAACACGCACGTCGATCCTGCGCAATCGTTGAAAGGAATAGGAGGTTGCGAGTATCAGGCGAAACGTTGTATATCGAATTAGACACCGTCACTAGCTACACGTATGTACATTCTGCATGCGATAAGCCATTTCATTCATGGTTCCTGGGGTTTGCGTGAGTCCTGGAATCCCCAGTGTATCGCGGGTTCGTCAGTGAAATGGTAGAGCGCCGAGGGAGTTGCCGAGTGGGATAGAAATAACAGAGGCTACAGGGCGGCATTGGACAGACAGAAAGAGAGAGAGAGAGAGAGACAAAGAGAAAAATACAAAAAAAAAAAGTCACCAAAGAGAAGGTGAGCAGAGGGTGAGGGAGCGTGCACAGGAGTAAAAGAGTGCAAGGGAGTGGCAGCCGCCTCCCCTGCAACTGCGTCTGCGTACAATCACACAAAAACGTACGCGCAGTATATACATAGTACACTCTGCCATAGAAACTCGTGGCATGATAATCGTACATGCAAAATACTCCTGCGGGCTATGTACTACGTATTATTCCTGGTACATACTTAAACGTACGGCTGTACCGACGTCGCATAGATCCGGTACGACCCTGCGAACGATATTAATACAGTTTAACCGATTAAGCTTGAGATTGTATGAAGAATTTTTATGCTTTCAATTTTTCTCCCTTCACGCGCCAATTTAATTGAATTAGAAGCGAGATAACGTTGCGTGTTCCGATGGGGAAGGGATATCACATGGGTGTTGAGTATTTTTTATCTACCTGGTCGATATCTGCAGGCACCTCCAGGAAAAATCCACTTCAATTTTTAATGCAGGACATTTTCTGCTTGATATACAAATAAGTCTGTGTGTACGTATGTATATTTCAGGTAACGAATATCATGAGGAACAGAGTATTACCGTAATACTGGGATTAAATTATCGTTGGTCTGACAATAATACCAGCTCCAGGTCCTTTGAGAGCTATGTGTGCGGCTAGTTTAAGGGTGTGAGATCCTGGAGGAAGGGTGTCTCCTTGTCCTTTGATCCCTCTCTCGCCTACCCAGCCTCATGTACTTCGCACGACTATTTACTGCAGCATCGTCGAGGCGAAATCTTCCCCCCGACGTTCAACGACCTCCGACCCCGTGCCAAGACGCTACGTCGACCCTCTCGAGCGAGACTAAAATGTTTTTTCCAGACTAACGTCAACCCTCGTTTTTGTCTCTCCTCTGTCTCTAGGTATTTCTCTTTTACTTACTGCACCTTCCTCATAGACATCCTTACCTTCTGTTCTAGGTTAGGAATATTAAATTGTCAGGCTTTCACGGATTTTCAAGCTCTTCCCTTCCTTCCGCGACGAAAGGACTGTCGGTTAGGGCACCACGATTCAGGCTGATATCGCTTTTCCTGGTAATTATTCGCTTGTCCAGGTCGGACCAGGTTATTTTCTCTGTTTAAAAGTGAACCTTATCCTAGCGGATGTCACGTGATAGATTTAAGATATGATACTGATGGCTTTCTTTCCTCAGGCTTTGTTTTTGGAAATTGGCTGTGAAAATAATGAAGGGTGGTGGCCCCTTGTTGTTCAAGGTCCGGCCACGTACTTCTTGCGAGGATTAATCTTAACCAGGCAGGATACAAGGGTGAGAAAATTTGCCTAACTTCCATCGAGGGTGATCGACGTTAAAAAAGATCCTCAAATTATCCGGCAGGAACTTCTTCTAACCTCCTTTCGACCCTGCTTACATTTCATACCCGCACCATGCGGCCTACCCAAGCAAGGACCCCGACCCGGTATGTTCGAGTCATAAATCATTGTCGCGTATCATAAATCATAGTCCCGAAGGACCTTTAAACATTAAAGAAAAATCTCAGCAGCTCTCGGAGCCCCTCGTCGTCTCGTTTTCGTCCTATCGATCAGTAAGCTGCAATTTTGTCATTCCAGCCGCTTCGAGTCTATCGGTACGTGTCAGAGGTCACAGGACATGTGTTCTCAACGTACCGTCTCGCAGAGAAGGAAGAATTAGACTAGAAACGGAAAGAAGGTGAAGATCCTTAAGAACCTACCAGACCAGTACCGAAGTTAAAGCCAGGCCGCATTCACCCCATCGTCCTTGGAGTCTAACCCCTGTCTGAGGGGTGTCCTATACCAATTCCCCAAAATTACAAGCCGCTCTTGGAGGGTCTTGGTGGAAACAAGGAGAGTCTAGACGACGTAGATGCGATTAACTCCATAGCCCAGGAGGTTCCGGGTGTCAGGATAGTCTCCTGGAGACAAGACAACAAACGTTAGCGCAGGACGCACGTAGAGCCAGAGAGCGAGAGACGGGCCAGGGTGCAGCTCTGCTGCTTCCCGCAGCATTGTCGAGTCAAAATCTTTATCGACGTTCAACGACCCCGACCCTGGCTAGACGGTCGGCTCGTCGGGGGTGGCTGGGCGCAGGATACGCCGTGCACGAGTCGGTAGGGTGCGAGGGGATGCCACGGCGTGTGCACTAGTGTGCTCGTGGGGAAGTTGCGAGGGACAGAAGGGAGGGCTGGTGATCATGGTGGGGTCTCAGTCCAGGAGCGAGGGAGGGCGTCGCCTCGTGTCGGGTCGTCAACCTTTCTGCAGCACTGCGACGTCGGGGTCGTTATAATTTCCCCCCTGCGCCGCGGCGGCTTAAATCGCGGCGTCGGCGCCGTGTGCCGTCCGTCGTCTTCCACCTCTTTTCTGCTTGGTCTCTCTCCCTCTCTCACATACTCTCCATAGGTTATTCTACACCTATGCTTCTCCTGACTACTCTCTCTCTCTTTCTCTCTCGTACTCCAATCCGAGTCCTACCCTCATAGAGAACACTCTTGTACATAGGCGTACACCCTGGTCCTGCACCCTGTATGTCGCAACCTGAGCTCATCTATAGGTACTACCTAGACGAGAACCTCCACCTACGGCCCTGAAATCCCAAACGACTTGCTCTCGCACTGGCTGAACCGCATTGGATCTTTTCAATGAAAAAGAATGAGTCCTGGGGGCTACCACGCTGATCTCTCTTTACCACAGAGTCTGTACGCATCTTCTTATTCGTCCCGTCTCTCATTCTTCCCCAGCTTCTTACCTCGTGTTACGCGCGAGCTGTCTCAAGATCAGCACAGAAATTCTCACAGGTTCCTGAATCTCTGACGATCACTGGTCTAGGAGCGTGAAAGACAGTTTTACGGTATTTCAATGAATTTGTCCTTGAGTCGATCTGCCTCCCAATTAGGGCGTGGTATGCACCAATTTCTTCTCCCAGAATTCAGCTGTACAAGTTCCCGCTACGAGTTCACCGGAACGTCTGGGTTCTCCTATACACAGACCGCTGACGTACCGTAAAGACCTGTACCAGGGTGGCAACGTGGCGGCAAAAGGTCTTCGTTCAATTTTTCTTTTACACGGGCACCACCTCGACTCGCAGGCTACGCACAGTCTCGTGCCGGGGACATTCTAGACATTCATACCGGTTCCCTTGCAGGAAGGACACACGAGCCGAATGTGCGGTGCGTCTCGACGTAAATGAGACCGGCTGGGTCTCCGCTTACATAGGCATTCGCATCCAGATCCCCGCGTGTTACCCAGGCTCAGAGGACACCATAGGAATATCGAGCTTCTTCCTCAAGACACACCTCGGGTGTTGATGAATTTTGAGCAAAGAAATTTCACCTGGAAAGTATTAATAACTTGTATTGATTTCGACGTTGAGCTCTATAAACGGTTTTAATTATTGTACGAGCAGGAGGACGTTGCACGGAGATGGACTGGGTGTCCTAGGGCAAGGGAGCAACGGTCACTCGTCCGGATCCAAAAGTCGAAGGTTAAATAATACATAAAGAAGCTGCCATCGAAGGGCGGGATGAGTTTTGGTGGCGAAGAGAGACGAAGTCACAGTCTGGTAATATAATAAATAGGTAGACAGGATTACGTTACCCCTCAAGGAGTAACGTGGGAAGGATAGGATCAAGGGTAGACGAGGTCTGAGGACGAATAGGTTGGAAGGAGGTTGTAGACGGTGTGAGAGGGAGGCTGGGTCGGCGACGACGAGGTCGAGGAGAGAGGGGTTGCTGAAGAAGAAGGAGTCTGAAGGGTCGGGGGCAATTTTCCTTAAAAATACCCGCAGACGCGCCATGCACGAGCAGCGGGTACAGCCAAGGATAGGAGTGACGAGGAGGAGGATCAGAGGGTAGAAAAAGGGACGCACCAGGGGAAGATGATGTAGAGCAGAGTGCGCCGTTCAAGTAGAGGTCGTCGATACGATACGCTCGTCGAGAGGTTGGGGTAGGCTCGCCGACCCTCACTCCCCCCAAAACCCCAAACCCTTGGGGGGGGGGGGAGTGGGTTTCGATCGATGCCAGACAGTCCTGTTCACACCACCAAATCCCGCCGAATACACGGGGGTCCCTCTTCTTCGTTCTCTGCACCTAAACCTTCTCCATACCCTCTGATACTTCTCAGCCACCGCGTCCTCTACGCCGACCCCCATGACAGCCACCCTGGCGTAACTTCTCTGACCTCATCCATTGGTTAGCTCGAGGAATCCTGACTGACAAAACGATCCAGCTCCCTTCGGCAGACTTTCTCGGGACGTGGTAATCTCTTGAAAATTACTGGTTTGTTGGCCACGTCTCGTTCGATCAGAAATACATTGGGAAACTAGTGATTGATTGAGACCGTCTTTGTCAGGATGGTCCCTGGGTACCGAACTTGGCGTTTGGATAAGATGGTGTCCATTGTCCCTATCAGCGACAGATCGAACGTTCATACGGGAGAGCCCGTACTTTTCCAAGCAGGTACCAACGAGCTGTAATAATTAATGGGTGGTACAAGAGGTCGGATTTTGGCCGAGGACCCTACCCTGTCACGGGAACAAAGGACGTCCAGGTAGCAGAACGGCTGGATGAAAGTGGGTTCCACCTTGTGGTTCGTGTAGGGACCTGGGGGAAATCCTTAGTTGAGATACTGCAAAAGGAAGGATATTCAATGGTTGGAAATTTTCGTGAAAATATTTTCTCTACGAACAGGAACCAAGACTTACCTGCATATCCTCATTCGCTTTCTATGCATCTTTCGAAAATTCGAGACTCCGTATTCCGAGGGACGTTTGCGTGGTTTAATCCGACTCCTCGGACACCCTGTATGCTACAAGGAACGCTTTGTTCGGCATAAAGAAAGTGGAGGAGGAAACTCAGCGCATCTAAATATAGAAGTGACCGTCGCGGAGGAACTGCACTACCTTTAAGCATCGTTCACACTGAGATCCTGATAATGATACAACTACCGTATTTTACAGTGAGAACTTTTAATTGAAAAATAATCAATGACATTTTTGTAATTCTTCACGCTGTCTTGTAGCTCATATAATCTGTTATACGTTCCTCAAGGATTTTTACACAAACATCCCAAAGAAAACAGTGTAACTATTTTTGAAATTTACCTTCTCTTTCGTGACTTTCTTCGTTTCGTTTTCGGAGTTTTAAACGTGTGAAATCAATCCTCGTCTTCCAGTTAGGTGCGACGGATAAGTTCTTTCACCTATGCATAAGCCATGTGTGGCACACGCACGTGACAAAGGTGCAGAATGCAGATGCACCCGTCTATACTAATGAACATATGCATTCATGTACGAAGCTGCACTTGCAACAGAAACTCTGCATGTTGTCAAGTGTTTGTAAACGCGAAGGTTTCCTTACGCGTATTGAAAACTCCGTGTGATGCACCTCTGCGTGCCAATATCTACGGCTACATGTATTAACCACCTATGTAACATGTGTAGATGAAGATTATAATACACGTATGTGAACACGGGATGACGTAGGGAGGATACTGACCATTTCAAGACCTTTCACGAATACCCAGTACGCCGCCATATTGAAATCACGAATCTTGACGATCTCCTACCCACTGCTGTAGTCAATTAATAAAATATGACTTTTTCAAAAATATATATACATATATATATATATATATATATATAAGTACGATCATAATAGATTCTTTGCAGGTTAGAATTCTCTAGAGATTTTCATTAGAGATTATTTCCAAGTGCAACCTTACTCCATATCTTATTACCTGATCGCATTGTAAGTACCGCTGAATCCAAATGCCCGTCCGTTACAAATGCGCCGTGTATAGTAATTGCATCAGAATACAGATAATTTCTTAGATATTAATGCAAGATACTTACGGGTTCCGTTCGACGATTTGCCAACGTTCGCTTTACGATTCCGGGAAAAGGTTAGGTTAGAGACTACGTTGAAAACCGTTAGAATTTGAAAGTTGTGCTTGCAGCGTCATCTGCTGATAGTCGCTCGCGAATGCATGACGAATCTTTAGACTGGGATCGATTGTTGAGGATTTTTATAAAGATAAATGAAATGGATGAACGCACGGTCAGTTAATTCTACGATATAATCCAGCAAGACCTCATTTTCACGGTGATTTCATCTCTCTGGCGTTGTATGTCCTAACCTGTAACCTCTTTACGTACGAATACGCGGATCCCAATGCAGTCTGGGAAATCGCAGCTACTTCGCGTGGGTGTGACGAACGAAGAAGACATACCTGGCTGTTGTGCTCGAGGAAGAAATCCAGGCGGTGGATATGTATTCTAACCTCACGTAGCACATTTTTTTAACTTGGATATTCGTAGCCGGCTGACACGTTTCTCGGTAGAGTGCGATGGATTAATATTAATCGGAATTCCAGATGGATTGCGGAAGACTTCACGAGCGACAGGACTGCCGTTTGCTAATGCTGAGTAATATTGTGGAATCCTTTGAGTTCTCTGATGTTATTCCAAGTGCTGCGAAGTAGGCAAGACGTTTTCGGGTTTGAGGCAATTCCTGCACGAGTTAGTAGCCGCTTCAGAGAAATATCCTTTAACAGTATATTTCAGCTGTGCGATTACGGTAACGCTTTCTGGTTTTAGAGAATGTTCTCGATATATACCATTGAAACTATTTACGACTATAAATCCAGCAGGAAGTGATAAGTTAGAGTGTCTCTCTATCTGAGGATTGAAAGTGTTAAAAAGTCTTTTATTTATTTTTATATTTCTCGAATTTTACGTAAAAGAATTTCTTGTTCAAGTTTCATCAAAGTTCAGAACGCAGACTGGTTGTGTACTGGAATATAATATGTTTAGGTTGAATAGGGTACGGCAGACTAAACTTTTCTATACAGCATTTTCAGGTGTCTATGGAAAAATAATATTGAAAATCTACATCGGTCTTTGTTTTTATTACTAATTTTCTCTTTTTTCGTCAAAACATTTTTTGGCGAACGTACAAAACTCCCGTCACAAAATCCGACTGGCGATACCACTTAATCACCCTGTCGTACAAAACACATTCCGATCGATAATACACCGGCGTACAGATAGATTTCGAGGTTAAGAACAGAGCAGGCTGTTGAAAAAATAAATATTGCAATAGCAAACTTTTCTAACGTATCAAATAGCATTTTCCGTGGGTCATGAAAACCTAGAATACCAAGCCAACCGTAGTGAGTCAGACAAGAGCATACAAAGTTATGGATTCTCTTACGAAGTTCCAACAGTAAAGTTCACTAGAGGCTAAGGTGCAAACTAGATGCCTAAGTACATCGTTAGCTTATTATAAGTAAGCATAACATTTATCCATCATAGCAGAGCAGCGCCTTAGGCAACAAATTGTCTAGGAGAAAACGAAAAAGAAAAAGGAAGGGGAACATAATAGAGGCATCGTGGTTAGGTCGATAATATATAGGAAAACTTCTCTGTCTGGTTATATACGTTGGCGAATATTGGGACGGTACAATGCAGAAGGTTTCACCAGTGACCACGCGATTGGTGGGAGTAGAAGGAGGTTTCACGGGGGCCCCCAAGGAGCCCGGAGCAGAGCCTGGTTCTACGTGGCCCGAGGGTCCCAGGACAAAGAGGGACCCGTGGAGGAGCAGAGAGGAAAACAGGCAAGCCGCGACGGCCCTGAGCCACACAGACTACTGGCCCAAGGACGTCGCGGGGCCCAGATTCTTGGCTGCTCGCCCGTTCGTTCAGTCTTCGGCCTCGTTCCTGTCCCACCTCTTGGGACTTCTTCTGCAGCTCCTCCTACAGCGCCACCACCATCGCCATAGCTATCGCCGTCATTCTCGTTCGTACCACCTCCTTCTACACAGCACCTTCTCCTATAGCTTCGGCATTGCTTCACCCCCCTTCCACCTCGTGACTGCCCCCCTTATTTAGCCTTTAGCTTTTAACAGCGATCAGCAACCTAACCGAACGGCCGGTCTCTGTCGGTCGGGTAGCCAGGCCCCTGTCTGAGTGTCTGTCTGTCTGCCGGTGCTGCCCGAGCCAAACTCCTGGATTTGTCCTTCAGCCGATGCCCTACTCGGCAGCCAGTTAGCAACAGCCTGCTAGCGCCGGAAATACCGGGTGTCCCAAAACGCAATGTACTTCTCTATCTCTTTCAGACTATCTCGTTCGTCCATCAGCCTCTCTCCACGGCATCGGCTTATACCTCCTCACAAGGGAGACACACAGGGTCTTCGTCCAATACAATATTGACTCATCCAGCATGGATAGACATTACCCAGTTTGAGATACATATCTATTCGACTAAGAGAGTAAATCTGAAAAAGTATATATGACTTCCTGTCGTTCGACATTACATTCTATATTCCCAAAGGGTATGGTACCTTGAGCTCTGTGGACGTCAGCTGTTTCCTCATCCCCACCCCGCTCGTCTTCTAGTATCGCATGCATGTCTGCACATCCAACTGTCCGGGACGTCGCTATTAAATCCTACCGAATGCCAGGAGCGCCGTAGTAGATCTACCATAAAATTATGTAAAGCGTTCCAGTTAGAGACAGTTGCCTTGCTGTTTATAGAATCTCAACTGGACACGTACTGAGCACGCGGGACTGCTCGAGATTGTCAATCCCTTAGTCCGGCGAATTCCCGGGAGAGCACGTTCCGGTCGCTCCGTGCGACGTTAGCTCAACTAGAGGCGCTGGGGAGCAGAATACGCGTATACTGCATCTACGTACGCGCGTGGCCAAGTTTAGAACGAGACGCGAGGCGCCGCCTCGTTGAAAACGGTTTACGCTCTTTGACCGCCTACGCGAGATCTCTTCTAATGTTAAAGTGCTTGTCCTCTCTGGTCCCTGTCTCTTTCATCGCTTTTACATTGTCATTGACCAGCCTGTACTTTAGGTTAGCAGACGCACCTAAATCACGGTACAAATAACGTCAGGCAATTTCGTCAATTCTCATCGAGAACGTCTTGTCTGCTGTGTACAGTGGCTTTACGTTTATCCCCTGTAAAACTACCAGGGACGCATCACGCTACGGTATATAAGATAGACTGGGGAACAAATACGCAGGATTGACAGTTTCGTTCTGTTTTTCTTCGTACTTTACTATTCTCATGCGCCTACATATATCGATAGACACAGCGGCACGGAGAGAGTATCCTTCTTGTATTTTTGTTGTCTATGGCGCCTGTAAACTCTTTTTCTTTCCTTTTTCTTCTTCGGCCTCTTTGTCCTGCCTACTTATTTTTCCTCCTATTTCCAGTTTCAATATTTATCCCAACACCCTGCTGTACCCTCCCGGAGGCATTTCTTTCACGCTGAATTCCTCTGGGCTTCCTCTCGGTGTATGCTCAGCAGTACCGTTCTTGCTCGTAATTCCTGAGGGTGTAAGCGTGACGGAAAAATCTATAGCGGCCATTTATTGGATATTGATAACTATGATAAATCCTTAACCCGGCGTCCAACGTCGTTAAAAGAAACAACGTCGTCTACCTGGGTCTGTGAGACCCGACTGAAGAACAGTGGATTTATTTGACGTTAATAAAATATTAAGGGCTTGTCTGAGAATTATCGTATTTCAAGACGATCTTGGGAGTGGTAGATGTGAATAAAATATTCACGTCTGAAAATGCTCGTGTGACTCAACTGTGACGGCGCCGGGTTAACTGTCCGAAGAGAAGAATTCGTATGTTGATAACCCGTGACGACTGACGTGTAAATCTCAAAGGGTTTAATATTGGGATGAATTATTTTTACAGTTCTTGTAGGTACGAGCCTTGTGGGGTACTTGAGGAATAAACGTAAAAAGATATATTTTTAATTTGTTTCGCCCTGTATAAACGATCTTGGGGTAATTAAGTTATAATTTATCTGGGTGATATTCGCCATTCGTACTTGTTAACTCGGTATACGTTGAATATTCATGCCTGGTTAATGGTCGCTGGAAATTTTCGTATTTTAGCATACAGTACGTCCGCGCGTACATGTATATATTGTTTTTACAATCACCGATTTATGGATTGTGGCAATTTTTTTAAATTTTAATATTTATTCTCAAATGACGTTTTCTCCTTAATACTAATTTTGTTGCAGGAAAAAAACTCATTTCTCAACTACAACGTCTCCTGTATCCTGACCCTGCCGCCCTATCAGCGTCAAGGATACGGTCGACTACTAATTGACTTCAGTGAGTAACGGCTAATTCCAAGTAATGAAATTCCTGCGACATGTGAACGCGGCCGAAGGAACTTTCGACCGGATTTCCGGTTGCGGTTTCCTCCTGTCGCTCGGCATCACTCTTGGGTAGATCATCGGAATTTTATGTGTTTTTGCGTTCGATTCAAGATCGAAAAATGAAGACAGGTCGAACCGGTCGAAGATAACGACTCCGTAGTACGTGTAAACGAAGGAACGCCGAATGGATTTCATTTAATTGGAATAACTTGGGTATTTTGGTTGGAATTTAAAAGATATCAGAGAAACGAAAAATCCATCGAAGAAACTTGGGCAAAGTCCCATGGATTTATCATACGTCAATGTACTAAGTGAACCTTCGACCCCCAACACTGCGATCGTTTCGCTGGAAAAAAAAGGTTGCTCCAGAGATAATTGAGCGATGAAATTTCTTTTTGGCCATGACGTCATGCTCATTGATACCAGGTCCAGGTCTAATTCTAAGGATGCAGAATTATCGAACCCGGTATGCAAATCCAATTGTAGTTGGACGTCGTACGTAACCCGTGGAAAACCGAACCACCCTTAACCGGTACACAGAGATGGCGAATCTCCATGAAAAGATTGCTCTGACCAATTTCCAATGCGCATTCAGTCCAGGAACGAAGTAAACCATTGAATAGAAATGGAGGAGGTGGCTTCTTGAAGGAAGATCCATATCGTTAGACCCAGGGGGTCATTGACTTCCTTGTGCCGTCACTGGGAGTGCTCATCGATACCCGCATACTCGGTACGAAGTCATTCCAGATCCAGGATCCAGTCTCAAGCGCATCCCTTGCCGCATCAGCCACTGAACGGGGGAGATGGCGGATCTGATAGTAGTGACAGTGGTAGTATTACTCGTAGAGTAGTAACGATAGTAGCAGTAGTAGAGGCGAGGTGAATAATTTTTGCAACGGACTGTAGGTCCGTGGTTGTCGGTCTTGGAGAGGGGGTTGAACGAGATGAGGGTAGGACCGAGGAGGAGAGGTCGAGAGGAGGAGGTGGATGGCGAAGGGGGTGGCTGCGAGGATGAAACCACGGCTAGACCGCGTCAACGGGGTAGAGGCTGTGTTCAAAAAGGCGTCTTCGAGCGGAGGATAATTAAACGTGAACTTTTTGCCGTGACGTCATTTTCATTGATGCCGTCGACGACGACGTTGATGATGCTGTCGAGCCGTACGGAGAGTCTGGGGGTTGGAGAAAAAGAGTACGAGAGAGAGAGAGAGAGAGTAGATCCAGGATGAACGTACTATGAACCGGGTTGGGTCTCCTCTGTGGGCTACGACCGGAGCTGGAGGTTGGAGGCGCCCCGGTACCCGTGGATACCGGATAGTGGAGTGCGGAGAGTACGGTGGAGTGGTTAGTGGAAAGTGCGACGCCCGGCGTCTCGCCGCATCGATCGGCGCCGGATCCGCCACTACTGGCTGCTCCTGGCTGGCTGGCTGACTGGCTTGGGCTAGCTCTGGTTTGGTTATCTGGTGCTCTAGGCTCTCTGCTTAAGTTTCGAATGTCTTCCAGAAGAAAAAAGAAGATTCAATGTTATTCTGGAGTACCGGCCCATCAGGATACCTGGTCCAGACGTAGAGCCTCAACCAATTCGGTATACGGACCCCCCCTTTGACCCTGTCTCTCTCTTACTACCAGCTACCCCAACTCACGTCAGTTTGGGGTTGTGGTTCGAGTCTGGCGTACCGTTGCGATACTATGACCTCCCGTGACCTCACCCACTCCTCTTGGCTGGAGGCCGACGCGGGAGGGCTCGCCCCGGCTCCAGTTGGAAGGGACGCCAAAGGGTGAACGGGTGGAGAGGGACCCCTCTCGCCAAGTCCCATAACCACTACGTTGCACGGTCATGCCTACCTCGTATCTAACCCCCCCCCCCCCTTT